AGATGTGCAAGCAGAAGGGTCATTTTGATTGTAAGTACCTCACTTCTTGCCACCCCAAGGGCCGGAGCCACCACTCAGAGTGTAGGTCTGAATTTCCTTGTCCTGTGTGTAAGGGCAATGCCAGGAGCATATGCTCAAATGGGTGAGTATGCATTAATTTTAAATCACTGAATAATAGCAATAGCATAAGCCATGAGGCAATACAGACCAGCTTAACAAAAAGGAAGTACACAATGGCTGTTTTGTGTAGTGTAATGATCCCATATAGGGGCCCCTTCTGTTTAGGCAACACTATGCATGAGAATTTCAGAGGCATTTATTTTTCTTTCTAGAGTAAAGGGGGAGAAGACATAGATGAGAAACAATGGCGGTAGGGGTCAAGGGGTTCATTTACATTGATGGTGTTAAGGAATGGTGGAGCTGAATATCCAAACCACAGAGTCAATAATACTGAAATCATGAAACCCAAACTTTAATAACAAATGTAAAATATGCCTGTCAAGCTGGAGCTAGGGCCGGGGAGAGGGGCTAGAAGAGAGAACCTGGGAACACTGATGAAGAGGACACTAGTGGCAGGATCTGTGATGGATGAAAAACATTGTATCTCATGGTGCTTAAGTAAAATTTAATATAATATAATATATATATATAATAAGAGCATTGATTTGGGACAAGTACCACTGATGATAATACAAAAAGAAAGTAAACAGGCTGATTGAGGGCAGTAACATCTAAAAGGTAGTATTGGTATAGACAACTCATAGATCTAGTCTAAATTCACAATAAATTTTCTTCTATTTCTCCTCATGCAGTGATCTGGGCTTTCATATTCCCACCCTTTAGTTGTTTCTGCTGATTGGTGTGCAGTCATATAACAGTTCATTTATCTGTATGATAAATAACTGGAGTTCCCAACTACCATTACTGCCACTCCTCCCACACCCTCACCCAAGATCTCCTCTCCTTAGTTGTTTTAGCTATTACCGGTATGTGAGATTGACCAGTTAGAGAGCCCGTGAGAAATTAAGTAGCGGTTTGATTATCCAGACGTTCCCTCTTCACTTCCTCTATATTTGGCCTCTCCTCCCTTGTTCTTTCCTTCCTGGCCTCTCCCTCTTTTTCTCCTGTAACATTACCACTTCAGATCAGGATCTAGAAAACTGATGACTGAGACAGGCACAAAAAGCCTTTTTTAGTAATACATTACCAAATGAAATGATTATGTGGCCATGAAAACTACAAAAAGCTTGCAAAATGAGAGAACTGTGTGTTTTAAAAAGAATCTTTCATCTAAATGAGATGAGCATACTTAATCTGTGATTTATCTTTCTTCCAAATGGTTTTGAGGAAACTTTTTGCATTAAAATTCATAAAATTGGGCAACTGAGAAAAACCTGAAAAGCAAAGAATAAAGAGAAATAGTAGAGTAACTAAAGGAGAAAATATTGTGAGAAATTTGCTGCTGTTGTTTGTTTTGGGGTCACGCCCAATGGTGCTCAGGGCCTCCTCCTGGCTCTATGCTCAGACATCACTCCTTATAGGCTCAGGAGTCCATGTGGAGTACTGTGGACAGCCCAGGTCAGCTGTGTGCAAGGCAAGTACCTTTACCTGCTGTACTGTCTCTGAGGACCCTGGCATGGAACTTCTTTTTTGACTTTTAGACTTAAAAATATGCATACTCTGGTAACTTTTTTCTTTTTTTTTTGTTTTGTTTAGAATACTATTAATAATGGTTTCTTGTGAACATATTTCCAACACCAAAAGACATAAACAGCATCTAGCAAAATTTTCTTACCTTAATATTGCCAAATTTTTCTCATCAATATCTTTTTTGTTACATAGCCAATGTATAAGTTTTTATACTGTTTCATTCACAAATTGTAAAATTCTCTTTACTGAACTTGATATTTATCATCATCCTGAGAATATTAGTTCTATGTCTGGAATTTCTTTCTTAGTGTGTAGTCTTTTTGTTGAATCTGTATATTTCTGATTCATAGTCATGGCATCCCTCCAATGTTGGGTGACATTAGGTTGGATATTCTTATTATTGACACTTCCTTATTAGTCTCTGTTTTGTTTCTACAAGTTCTTTATAGTATACAATGCTGGGTTTGGGAGATGTTAGATTTAGTTAAATGTGAATGATTTGGTAAGACAAGTTTTTCAACAGGCTGTCCCAGTAACTAATTATCTGTGTACAGAGAATACCTCCTCCTTCGAATGTTACCAACTTCAAAGACTTTGCCCAAGTCTCCAGCTCAAAACCCTTAAGTTCTGTGTTTACTTCAGTGTAATCACCTCTTTTGTTCTCTTCCTGATTCAGGGAGGGGTTACATTTATGAGTTAGAGTGTCAATTAGGAGTTTTCCCCAGAATTTCCATGCGATGGAGACACAAAACTTTGTCTTACACAGGGCATGATTAAAATATTCTTTTATCCCACAGTAGCTCCATTTTGTATTTTGAATTATGGATTATGGAGTCATTCTCCAAATACTATTTACCTCCCTTCTTTAAATAATTTAACATAGTTGCCAGTCCCTACATTCTAGTACTTATGCTCTAGTTGGATTATGCATTTATTGAATCTCATTCTTCCATTCCTAACTTTATTTTCTAAATTTTTCACAGAGACATAAAAATCTGCTGATTGTGATAAAAATCACAAATAAAGAAATTGTGGACATTTTGTTTTTCAAATACACTGTTACTATATGGGTGTTAGATGCTGTTTTTTTTCCCATTTTTACAGTCACTATCTCTGACTGGCTATAAAGCTTTATACAGCTTACCCCCAATACCACAGTGGTGCTAGGGGCAATAAGAGAAACACCTTTTGGTGCTCAGGAAGTCATGCATTGCTCAGGACTGAACTGGGGCCCCAGGAAGCCAGGCGTGCACTCTGAACAGTCTCTTCACCTCTAGAATCTGTTTGAAAGCAGATAAACCCTTCATTATTTGTGATCCCATTCAGCTTAATGGTAAGAAATGCCTTAGTCTATGGAGCTATGGATGATGTCTTGGATGTGCTTGCCATTATTACTTGTGGTCTCTCAAAATTACTAGACTTGGAACTATGGAGGCTAAAATGAACTTTACAATGACACAGGTTGATGTTACATTCATTTCATATGTTAGAAAAGAAGTTCATTGAGGCCAAATTATTTGAAACTGTGGAGCTAATTAAAGGGAAAATGCCGAGCTTTCCCAAAGTTTGTACCTCTAGGTCAACGGACCTTCTTCAGTATGTTGCATTTAGTACAACATACTTAAAACTGGCTCCAACCCAAAATTACTGGCATTGTTAACTTCAATTGCATTCATTTATTCCCACCAAAACCTCTGCATCATTTAATGATTGCTTTTATAGTTTCAAAAAGGTGAAATATTTACCATTTCAGATGGTTCAGTCTAAAATAGAATCCTTTATATGAATTCTCCATAGTGAACCTTGAGTTTGGGGATAAATCACTTTGAATAGGACAGATTCTTTCCAGGAGTAAATGACAAGATCTCAAAAGGAAAATCAGTTTGACTGTGGGGTATGGAAGGGAGTAAAGGTGGAGGCAAGAAGCAGCTTAGCAAGATAGTGAAAACTCAGGAAGCTAAATTTTAGGAGACAACACTTTCTCAAAACATGAAAATGAAGGTTTGAGACATTGTGATCTAGCTCTTAAGAATGAAGATACCTTATGTTTTTAAAGCATCTTGAGAGTGGTTTACCATGATGAGTCAGAAGCCAAATCTGTGCTTATTCACATGGTACTGTAAGAAGTTCCTTGAACATAATAATTTCCTTTATAATATCAGCATTGAAATGGTTATAAGATATAACTTTTGTCTTGAGCATCTTCTTAAAGCTTAAAAGACATCAATAAAAAAAGATTAGATTCTGATAGTCTAATTGTAGAGGCTGGTAAATGAATCAGTCAAGATAAATGTTAGTCTTTGATCAGGAAGAACTTGAACTATAAACTCGTTACATAAAATAACGTCACTCATTTTTATGACCAATATAAGCACGGTCATGGCCCTCCCGTTGTTCATCGATTTGTTCAAGTGGGCCCCAGTAACGTCTCCATTGTGACACTTGTTACTGTGTTTGGCATATTGAATACATCATGGGGAGCTTGCCAGGCTTTGCCCTGCGGGCGAGATACTCTCGGTAGCTTGGCAGGCTCTCCGAGAGGGGCGGAGGAATTGAACTCGGGTCGGCCATATTGGCTGCGCGCAAGGCAAACGCTCTACCCGCTGTTCTATTGCTCCAGCCCATGACCAATATAAGGGCAATACTAAAATTTATACCCCCTTTTTTTTTTGCTTTTTGGGTCACACCTGGAGATGCACAGAGGTTACTCCTGACTCTACACTCAGGAGTTACTCCTGGCGGTGCTCAGGGGACCATATGGGATGCTGGGAATCAAACCCGTGTTGGTCGCGTGCAAGGCAAATGCCCTACCCGTTGTGCTATCCTTCCAGCCCCTAAAAGTTATACCTTTTTTAAAGGTTGTGCTTCTACTCATCTAAAGTTGAAGTTAATGTCTAGTGTAAAATACTTATTCCACAATGTCATTAGTGATTTTCAATAAGGGTATAAACTTTCCACTTTTTCTCTTGGTCACGCACATTTATCTTATCTCATTAATGTATGAATATCTTATATATAGAGACCAAAAATGTCAATTTTGTATTTTTCTGTATTATATTTCCTCTGGTGAACAACATTTTAAAAGAACAATTATAATCAGACTTAATATTAATCTATGAAATGAATATTTTATAATGCAACTCGCTCATATTATTAAATAGTATTCTAAATTTTTACTACATTATCATAGAAAATTTTGAATATTAAATACCAAACCATTAACATATTTTACAGCATGTGTTTGTTATATGTTTAAGATAATGAGTCATCTATTACTTTTAGTATGAGCATCCTATAAGAACACTGTGATATTCAGTGACTAGGAAAATCATTTTGAAGAAAAACGACACTGGGAGATTAAATAATTTATTACTATTGCTAAGATGAACACATACTTAATACTCAATTTATGCAGAACTTTAAAAAAATAGTTTTAATACAGTATCAAAATTTACACAAGTATTTTGTCAAAAGACCAGTGTTCTTTGTATTAGTTTCTGCAGGCTCTACTGCAGGCACAGAACTTATTTTAAATGTTTTCAGTATGTAGGAATACAACAATTTAAAGATGAAAGATTTTCTATGAGAGAATGTGTAAATATAGCAAGCAGTTTTCTTTCAGAGAGCAGTAATATTTTAAAATATATAACATTTTAAAAGAAAGATAGGTTTAAGTGATTATCCAATTACAATAGAGATAATTCTACAGTAAATTAATTCATAAATATTTTCTGAAAAGAGGGTTGGATTTTGTCACACTAAACACTGAAAGTATAGTTAATTCCTTCACATTCCTTCACCAATGACAATTAACACACTATATATTGAGCCCACTGTGTAATGAGCCTATTTTAAAAACAACCACAACAACAAAGTACTTATTATGAATCAAATCTGAACAATTTAGAAGAAATTAAAAAAATGGGAATTGTTGCATTCCTACTTTTATTATCTTAAACAACAATAAAAATTTAGCATTCTGTCACAGGCCTCTTGCACATTCATACAAGAAACTACCATTTATCATTTGAATAAAGACAAAATATCTACCATAGCATTTTCAATACACACAGTCTAAAAGTATAAGTGTGTGTGTATATATGAATACAGGTCTATGTATATATGTATACACACACACACACACACACTCTCTCTCTCTCTCACACACACACACACACATACACACACATATTCCAAAAGAAAAATAACTAAGCAAAGCTAGCAACACTTCTTTTTCAAACCTTAAGCAATCTGAAAAAGATCTGTTTGCCTCAATAATGAAAGACATGCACCAGTTTCAGAAAACATTAGATAGCTGCTATAGGCAAAAAAAGCTATTTCCATAATGCAGTGCAATATTTTAAAGTATACATAAAGTTTATTAAATATAACAGCATGGCTAGAAACTAAACTGTAGAAATTGACATCTCACAGCTGGAAACACTTAGAAAAATTGTGTTTGCTTGTTTATTTCATTAAAATTGTTAATACTACATCAATGAATATACTGATGAATATAGAGGTTGATATATCCCCCAAATGTATCTTCATGAATATATTAAGATTAAAAGAAATATTTGTTTTGATCAGCTGACATAAATGGTACTCTCTGATAAGCACTCTACAAAGTCTTTCTACCCTTCTAGCTGGTAAGAAAATTTTCTATGGTATTTTTAGCACCTCAAACATCAGAACAAAATTCCAGAAACCTAATCTTATCTTGTATCCACATTAAATATATATTAGGAAACTAATATGCATTGCCTCTAACATAAGAAGTGGCCAACTTTCAAACTTGGGAAGATTGTAGACAACTGTTCTTATCTTCAATAAAACATGGTAGAAAACTCCACCATTATATGCAATGAGTCAACTATCAGAACCAATGACGCTCTATTGAAATAGGCCAGTCATGCAATTTCCCAATAAGAATCTTAGATATGAGGAGTCAAAAACTACTTTAGTTCTAATGAAAATATTGGTAACAAAATGGTAATTCTCAAAACTACCTTGTTTGAGATTGACTGTTGTGAACATAGAAGTGAGAAACACAATACAGCTTTAATTATACTGAGGATTTAAAGAGAAAATGGATGCAATGAGCAATCACTCCATGTTCCATGAGTTCAGGTTTGTAGAAATCACTCTTTCTTCCTTTATTTCTTTCTGGCAGTGGTGATCTTCTGTTCCAAAGAGAATGCTTCTCACATTGGTCCTTTGTACTGGTTTCCAGACAAATGTTGCCTAATCCCAGGACAGGAACCTGCAGCATCGCCAAGTTTCCGCCACACAACCTTAAAGAGAAAAAAGGGATCTTATTTGACCTCCTTCACAGAGTATTTGTCATTTTTAAAGGGGATTTTGTAGAAGGCCAAATCGGAATTTGAAGACAAGAGACAAAAACATCCACAGGAATGAGTTCAAACACAAATGAAACAGGCATCTAAATGACAAAAAAAAAAAAACACTACTCAATAGATGAACTACTACACTAATTAACAACCAAGACAGAATTAAAGAACTCTATGTCAGCTTATACTAGACCGGTTCGCAGCTGTCTGCACACCATGCGTTTTTGGAGAACTGAACAGTAATTTCAAATTTCTGGTATTGGCTGGATTGTGTGGAGGTAAAACATGGGCACCTTTATTTTTTAAAAATTCCCAAGGTGATTTTTAATGAGTAGCTAGAATTAATCCCTAAGAAAAATTATCCTGCCTCCTATCTATAAGAAGAGACATCTGTAAGATGAAACTTTCAATCCTCAAAATGTTTAATCCACAAAAGAAAATGAGAGAACTTTGTTCTTGGGCTATTTATTACCTGAACAGGTAGCCTTAACATCGCTAGTAAATTCTCCTTTTTTTTCCCTGCAAAGTGGGGGGCCTAGTAATCTTAAATCTTATGGTTGAGCGATAGCACAGCAGGTAGGGCGGTTGCCTTGTACACAGCGAACATGGCCCACCTGAGTACGATTCTTCTGCCCCTCTCGGAGAGCCGGGCAAGCTACCGAGAGTATTTCACCTCCAAGGCAAAGCCTGGCAAGCTACCCGTGACGTATTTGATATGCCACACACAGTAAGAAGTCTCAAAAGGAGACATTACTGGGCCCTATCCAGTAAACCGATGAACAATGGGGGGACAGTGACAGTGAGAGCTAACAATATGATCTGGGAGATAGAAGGCATCTAAATACAGGGAAAAGATAAGAAGGACTTTAAGAAGCACTGAAATAGATTTAAAGAACTACTGTATATTAAAAGTGGAGGGATATCTGAAAAGATGAGACTAAGAAAAATATAAAAGAAAGGTATTAAAGCAATATAAAATAATACACTAAACTCAACGATATACTAGTCTACTAAAATAGATTAGAAAAGCACACACCAACAGCCAAACCATCCTAAAGTTTTTCATTATAAAGACTATGTTTAGGTTGATTAATTTAACAAAAATTTAAATAAACATGAACACAAAACTATGGGTTCATTAAATATTCGTAGGAAATTTCTTTTGTTTTGTCGTTAAATAGAGCTAATACCCAGGGAAATGAAATGCCATTCATATTAAAACATGAATGTAGGTTTCTGTCTTCTAATTTCATTTCTAAACCAATGATTCTGTCGTATTTGAAGGGAGCAATAGTTACAGCCTAAATAGTTGGGAAAAAAATGTTTATAGCATTATTTGTCTGAGATGATCATTCAAGTATTTATTTCATCCTTCTCAGAGAACTTACAAGAATCAAGCAAGAAAACCTGAAATAAAACCACTCCTAAAGAGAAATCTACTGTTTATTAGATGCCAACATATTTATTTGTCTTTAACAGTTTAAGAAAATAAAAGCTCTTCATGTTTTCTAAGCAAGTTGAAGGTGGTGTAAATAACTGGTTTTTATTGTACTGATGTCAGCATTTATCTTCAGTATGAATACCAGATACTGAGGCAAAGCTTCTATTACCCTTAAGTTCTCAATAATAAAGCCAATAATGAAACTTTATATTTCTATGACATTATTTAAAAAGTCCATAGTTTTTCAAGTAAGTTTCCCAATTTTAGCTGTAGCACTGTACTCCCACTGTTCATCAATTTGCTCGAGCGGGCCCAGTAACGTCTACATTGTGAGACTTCTTGTTACTGTGTTTGGCATATCGAATAGGTCACGGGGAGCTTGCCTGGCTTTGCTGTGCGGGCGAGATACCCTCGGTAGTTTACCGGGCTCTTCGAGAGTGGCAGAGGAATTGAACCTGGCTCAGGTGGGAAAATTGCTTATTTGTACTGTACCATAAACTGTAGCTTTGTTTTCAAGTATTCACTATTTTCTATGCTCAGTTAATTTTACAAAGGTCACAAATATTAATTTAAATCAATACTTCTTGGCTTTCAAAATTCCAAATATAATAGTACCAATAATCAGGTTTGGGTTAGCTTGCAATTTTTCTCTGATTTTGTAAAACAAATACAAAAAAGAAAGCTAAAACAAAGTGATCTAGAGGAATTTTCAAAACAAAAAAAGGGCAAGATTTTAGCTTTGTGAATTATCTTATATAAAAACAATAATACCTATTAAAAACAATAAGTACCAAAATGGATGGCGCCTTTTAAATTATTTTTGGAGACACTGGTAAACAAAACAACCAACACAAAATGAATCAAGATCCGTTTCACAAGTGGTTCTCTTCTGTTACTAAGAAATTTCCTATTATCCAGTAAAGAAAAAACAATCCTGTCATTTTATTAATTTACAGGAATTCTGATATTGAGCACAACAGAAATGGTCCTCACTGCTAGATGTATTGCTCTTCAGACCCATATTCAACACTCTTAGAGAACTGGAAAGAGTTGGTCATAAGAAGATACTAGGCATGTTCCTGATTATACTGCTCATTAGAGAATAAGTAAGCAAGGAACTGAATTTCAGAATCTTACTATTTTCTTCAAACATAAAATCCAAATTCTGGGGTTCTTACCCAAAGTTACCTTTCCAAATCAACCATAGTTTGAGCTGAACTCAAGACGTGTGAATTATAAAAAAGCTCTTATAGACAACTCTGCAGAGAAACAATGGTGATAACCTCTACAGTGCCCTTCTGGTTCCATAATTTGGTTGCCCAAACTTTCTCACTTCATAATAAATGAATGATAAATAGAGAATCCCAGGTATATAACCCAGATTTTTAACTTAAAGATCCAAAAGTTGTATAATTTGGAACATTATTACATCTAGAATTAATGATCTTTTGAAAACAGACAAAACATAGACACAGAACAGGAAAGAAAAGCAGATAACCTGAAAAGGTTGCAGAAGAAAAAAAGCCACAAAACAAGCAAAAGACAAACTATTACCCAGCACATATGAAATACCTACAGGACTTAAGTAACATTTACCGGATTCCACGAACACTAAAAGAGATAAATAAGTATCTGAAAATAATTGACCTGATTATTCTAAAGCTTAGGAGCACTTCTGAGAATTTTTTTGTATCTTCAAGGATAAAGAATAAAGAAAAATTAAAAATCAATTAAAATCAGTGTTTAATATAATTTGCCATTATATCTTTTAATGGTATCTTCCTCTACAATGCTATCCTTTACTTTTTAATCAAATCCAAATTTTGTTATTGATTAAATGATCTATCCATTCATAGTATACTAAAATTAAAAAGTCAGGGATCAATAATACAATATGATATAGATTAGTGATTACAGATACACATCAAAAAGAGCATTTCAATTTCATTAAGTTTTTAACTTCACAGTTACATGTATATTTATTGAATCTGTCACTTTATTTTTACTATTTTATGAAACAAAACACATGTCATATGCAAGAACAAAGAACATGTCACCTACTAAAATATTTTTTGCAAATATAGTTACAAGTAAATCTGTTGGCAAATGTGTTTATTTTGTTAATTAGAGAATTTAAATAAATTTAAGAAGGAACTTCTTAAAAGTATGAAATAGAAACCTCTATTTTTAAACACTTGAAATAACATTTTGGGTAATAAATTCATTATCTAAAACTTTCATACATCATCCTAGAATACAAAATTAGTTCATTATTTGTTGCCAAAATAAAATTTACAAGATAATTTATAATATGATTGTTATATTAATAAAACTTTGATAAATACTTTAATGATAGAATTACCAGTCGATTTGCTTTGTTTTTATAGAAAAATATAAAAGCATTTGGTCAGCATTTTTAAAGTAGGTATTCCTAAAGCAATAAATATGCTGTGATGAAGCTTTCAACACAGAATATACAATAAAGCACATTAAACTTACATTGCACACTTCTCTGACTATAGCTTTTTCTGTCTCACTAAGGTCATGTTCATACTCTTTACCCTGATGACGATCTATAGTTTCCTCAATATCCAAGACCTGGATTTTTTGAAAAAGAAAAGCAAATTTCACATGTGAAAAATCTTGTTAGTTATGGGTAAGACCAGCAATGAGTTCCACTTGGTAAAACCTTTAGTTTTCTCCGTGTCTCCATATCAGAGTAGGTTAGTATATGGCAAAATCTTTAACAACACTTGATTGTGGTGAATAATCAACCTCTCCAGAATAACTTCTACTTGAATTTCAAATGGCCATTACAAATAATTTTTTCATTACTAACAGTCAATCGAATTCATTAAAATCTAAAATAATTATATTCATTTAGCTAATTTGGTTGTTAAGATGACTTAAGATAACTGTTTGGAGACAGTCATTTTTGCTCAGTTGTGAAAATGAGCAGTTAATTAATTGTATGCCAAACAGTCCAAGTGATATGTAGACATGGCCAATAGAAAAGATAAATTAAAAAAAAAAGATGATAGTGATGGTGAATCTGGTCAGAATCCAGGAATATGTACATAAGAGCCCTTATTAGGACTAATATCACTGACATGAGCGTGTTCTCAGTGCCAAGGAAAGACTCTTTGAGAGCAACATGGAAAGTAACTCTTTAAAGTGAAAATATGTGACCAAAAGTTGAAAAATTCTTTACTCAAGCAAAGTTTCTCCACTCCTCTAAAAGGGAACAAAATTTTGGCATTTAATGCTATTTGCTATTCTTCTCTTTTAGTTTGTAATTTAAATCACTTGACGCACAAAAATTTACTAATGCTTTCCTAAAAATTTAAATAGAATCAATACTGAACTTTGGGACTCCATGATTTTGTTCCCATTGTGGCTAATGATGAAGGCTGAAGTGTCACCAGAGAATTAACATTAGTAAACAGCTAAGTCAAAATAAACGGTCCAAGTATGAAGTGGGATCTTCATTATCAAGTTTGCAGATATTTAGACTATACCGATGTTCATTAGAATTCAATCTCATAATAAATAATGAGAATAGTTTGTAAATTAGATTAACTCAAGACTCTGGATATCATTATTATGTGGATATGAAACTGGAAGCTAAAGTCTCACCCTGATACTCATCCGAAGTTTAGTTAGTTCACAAGCTTTATATACTAGACAGAAGGCAGATATCAGTGAATGCTATGAATATTCTCAGAGAATATTCATACAAATCTTTAAGAGCTCCTAGAACAAGTTCATTTGCCCACAGATTTGACTCATAATGAATCCTTGAGAGAAGTATACTGAAATTAGGTAATTTCTACTAAATCAGAAATCAAGCTCCAATGAATAGTTATCAGTTTTAAATCAAGAAAAGTGTAACATTATTATAAGTGGGATCATTTCTCTCCTTGATTTACAACTTCACCTACTCCCAATGAGAGCCTAGTGTATTAAAGACTAGAGTTTTTTTTTTTCTTCCTCAAATCAGATTTTAAGATCTGAGCCAGTTATAATTACTACCTTTGAAAAATCTTATATTAATTTGCTCTAGACTTTTAAAAACAACATGTGCCAAGTGGCTTCATTTTTTGGTTATAATAACTTTTTTTGTTTTGGGGACACACCCATCAGTGCTCAGGGAGCTTGGATGACCAGATGGGGTTCCAGGAGTTGAAACTTCGTCAGCTATGGGTAAGGAAAGCCTCCTGCTTGCTGTACTATCGCTCCAGCCAGGTTACAATAATTTTTTTTTTTGTGCTTTTACTTTCTTTTTTTTTTCTTTTTTATTAGTGAAACGACATGAGGTACAGTTGTAGATTTACAAATTTTTAAGATGCATTTTATTTTGCAGACTATGTTTGCACATATTTCTGTTTCAGACACAGTTGAGTCATGGAAGGCAATGCATTTTATAGTTAAAGGCCTCTGGTTATCCAATAAAGAGGCTTCAGTTTTTCAGTATTGCTCATATGCCAAGAAAAACAACTTAAGAATTCTGATGACAGCACAATTTCTTCCTCTCAAGATAAAATTTTATATCAAAATTAGAGAATTAATTCTGAGAATTTAAAGAGCTCTTCCCTGTCTTCCTTTCCTTTTAGGCCATAATGACACAGTTCCAGTGAAAATTTTTAAGACTATAGTGCAACCCACTAAGCAAATCTGATTCAAACAGCACTTTTTTAAGGCAACAAGCTAAAATCGCTTTCAAACAGTTTGAAAGTCAGGCTGTAAGTTGTTTTTGGAGTATAAGCAGAAAGTAATATTAAAAGACTGAGTTAATCTCTGGTCATTTTTTATTCATAAAATACTTTTCAGAGAGTACCTGATTCATGCTGAAGTAACAGCATGTTTAGCATGGTGTTCGTGTCAAACAGAATCAAATGCTGTTGCAGAGAGCAAAGAGAAACCAGTAGCAGCACCCTTTTAATCTGGTGTGCCTTTGAAGAAAATCTGCCTGGGTACTCACTTTATAAACTATTCCAATCAAGACAAGTAATGCCAAATGCATTGTTGGTGGTGACCAGTGTTATTCCGATATGACTTTACTTATTAGTAATCAATTCATGCTTGGGAGAAACTCACTCAGTGATTTCCATTACAGCAAAATGTAACAAGGAAGTTGATTTTTCTGCCTGCACCTGAATCACCTCAAGTAAAATATTATGAAGTTTTCATCTACTTATTTGCTTTATGCATCACAGTGTGGGCCACTCCAAAAATGTACATCTCCAAATTAACTCAGATACCATTCTGAAACCAAACTAATACAGAAAAGCTGTGAAACTTTTGTTGCAAAAGCAGGACTAGAGCAATCTACTACAGTAAGCTCAGAAAGGCTTGGTGGACAGTCTCAGCTTTAACAGCGACATTTATTGCTTGAGACCAATTCTTTTAGGAATATATTTGTGTTGCATATTATTTACTTCTGTGGTTTATTTTTGTAAGTTTCACTTGTTGGAAATAGTAAAATTTGTAAAAATTAAAATTTCAGCAAAATCATTTAAGTCATTGCACAATCTTAAGTAAAGCCAAAAATAAAATAGGTTTATAAGACTAACATCTATTTCCTACGACTTTATAAGATAGCATTAATTAAAATTTGAAGTATTTTCATTTTATTTCGAACCACACTTTGTGCTCAGAGCTTACTCCTGGCTCTGCACTCAGGGATCACTCCTGGTGGGCTCAGAGAACTATACGGGGTGCCAGACGGAACCTGGATTGGTTGCATACCAAGCAAGCACCCCATCTACTATACTATCTCTCCGGCTCTCAAGTTTTATTTTCTTGTAATGCCAATACTTCATTTTAGTAAGTGGCACAAAACATTTCATTTATATAATGAAAAATATGGTATAATTATTTTGGCAAACTATTAACTCTAAATGTGGAAACATGATGCAAACATTACACATACAATACCTATGACAATACTTTTACACATATGGATATACATGCACAAACTCCAACGCTGATGTAAAAATATATGAATCACATTATCCAAAACAAAATGATAAAAGATTCAACCACAGTACTAAAACCCATTTATTAAAAAAAAACTTCAGAAATTAAGATAAAAAGTTACAAAACAAGAGTTCAAAAAATAAAAAAGACTGTGAAGACTACCAAACTACAGTGAACAAGCCACAACACAACTGAAGCTCTGGATAAATGGTTGCACATAGTAGGTTACCTTAAGAGAATGTACCACAGGTTCAGGCTGCTGAGAAGGTGTGGTATGTCCACTGAAGCTAGCTGGAGTGTTGGGTGAACTGTTACTCCCATCAGCCCCTGATGACAACCTAAAAGAACCCTTAGTAGAAAATCAACAACTTTGTTATTAAAACAAAAGTCGTCTAGAATGGTATAGATGTCGTTCAATATTCAATTTAGCTGCCAAAATTTGTTAATTCTTTTCTAGCATGTCCTGCTTATTAACCTGCTTATTGAAATAGACCTCTTGCATGACCAGCAAGAAAACTTAATTGAGTAATTTCTATGATCCAATTCTCAAATGGATCTACGCCATCAAAGCATGGCTCTTGCAAAATTTTAAGAATGATTTTTGAAACTTAATGATACTAAAATTGAGAAATATTTGAGGTACTCCAGAGCTGAGGTAAACATGCTCACTCAGCAAGCCAAATGCCATATATCGTATGCCTCAGAAAATGCATATACACCATATTCTTATTCTTAAAAACTAATAAAACCCTTCTTCAAGGGAAATAAAACATTTTCTAGAAATTTAAGCAATTCAAGAAAGAATTTTCTTATTTTCTGGTCTTTTTTTAAAGAGGGGATAATATCACAAATAACATATTTTCCATTTAATGGCACCTCAACTGGAGAAATCAGACCTTGAACATGAGTAATTTGACCTGTGAGAGTCAGTTACCCATCCGAGAACTAAAGAAAAAGAGAAACCTGGAATTATAAGTTGGGTAGGCTGCTTGGAAAAGACATAGATGAGGAAAGAAATAAGAGCAGTGGTTATCTAATTTACTAAAAAAAGCAGTCTAAATGAAATTTTCCAAACCTGTCTTTATCCTCTATCCAGTTCATGTTTTTGAATTTTTTTCCTTATGCACACTACCCTCATAGGATCTTGAGTGATTTGATTTTTGTTCATCAATAAATCTACAGTATTTTATGCATAATTGGATTAACAAATGTCTTTTCCATATAAACTGATCCTAAGAATCTAATCCTGAAAAGTCACCGAGGGATCCTAAAATGTGAATTCATAAGGGAAAGAAGCAACAGTGGTTTGGGATATGATTTTTTCAGAATTTACAGAATTTTCACATTATGCGTTTTAGGGTTGGGAGAGAAAGATTTCACACACAGGATGCTATAAATAAAGAATATATTTAAATCATGCTACTTTAGATAAATGAACAATTTCCATTGACTTTTAGAAAGAGTATTCTTAAGTATTCTTATGTATTCAATTTGGTATATTGTCTCCCTTGCTGTTTTGACTTCTGTCCTCAAAGGCTTCCCTTACCTTGCTGCCTCACAAACCAGCTGAGTTCTCTGCTGTGTTCAGAGAGTTATGCAATCAAACCATTTACTGTCCCACCCTAATATTATTAGCTCACAAGGAAAAGAAGCTGTGAAAAATGACCTTTAGGTCAACTTTGCTAGCCTCTGTTCTCCATGCTACTAAAAATTAATACTAGTAATGACAAAGGAAATCCAATTAACAGTCCCAAACTCCTCCTGGGGAAAAATTATAAAATCTGCTTTCTGTAGTTGTAATTCAGATTAACTCAGACATAATTGGAGGACCCCAATACAACTAATGTGTGTAAAGGCGTGCACGCACCTACACACACACACACACACACACACACACACACACACACACCTTCAACTGTTGCATTTCCTCTTCCTTTGTAACGATCAATGGTTCCAAAATGAAAAGTTATAAAGGAAGCTCTTCTTGCCTGAATAGCTCTGTTCTTCAGCTATTCATTTTCTCTACTAGTTCCACTTTGGGAACAGTTTTAAAAACGTTTTCAAACTCATGTAGAATTCAACTCAAATCTCTTATTCAAGATCCACTATTGCAGTGCCATTTTCCCTCTGATAGTCTAACTTCTTGGGCTATAATCCTCCATTCAGTTCTTGTTTTTGAAAATTTTTTTATGCACATCTGTTTCAAACATTTCCTTTACAGACATGGCAAAATGACTGACATAACAATATTGGCTATTTTTCCAGGCATTTTGGGTTAGGAGAATCTATAAAATTGATTAGTATCTTTGCTAAAAGGGTAAAACAGACTCTCCTTATTTACTGAGAAACAGACAATGTTTTATTAAAGTGGATTCATTAAAATAATAGTAATAAGTAACAACAAAAATAACAAAGATCATAATAGGAAGCAATCCTCCAGGAATTAAATTTCAATTTCCTTTTCGAGTCAGGAACCAATAAAATAATCACCAAAAAAATTAAGTTCATGTTTTAGGAAGATTTTATAAAAAAACTTTGAAGTCATGAAGATTAACCTATTGCCTGGTAATGTTGTATACCTAGAGGTGCTAAATAGTCTTATAGGTAATAATGAAATCAATTAAACCAAACTATTACAACTCATTTAATTACTATAAAAGGTTAGTTTTCTATATACTTAGTAAAATCAGATTAATATTTAGTTTATAGAATTATCTTCCTTCAATAATTCTATATACTGAGTTGACTAATACATTTTTACAGAAGTATTTTTAAAAACATGCTTGAGTGAAATACCAACATACTGATTTTAAACTGTCCTTTGGAGTCTATTCATAAGATTAACCCTACTTATTTAACTTATAACTTTACTGTCTCAGAAGATAGAAAATTTTAAAAGAGAAAAATCTTTATAAAATGGAAAATATTATTTCCATCTAGTTAGGGCTGCTTTTTTTCAAATTACATATGATCAATTTTATGTATGCATCAGTTGTCAGTTTAAAAGGGTAAGGAACAGTTTCGTGGGCTGGAACAGAGACATCTGAGGGTATTTAACAATCCATTTCCATCAACCTTTTACGCCTTTTTAATGAAGTTTGCAGGTTTCATCTCCAGGGATTATTTCAACGTTTAACCGAGGTTTAGGATAACAAAACAAAAACCACTGACAATAAAATTGTCTGGGAGTTAAAAGACTCATTCCCATTCTTCATCCCCAGATTTCGACACACAGCAACTTTCTTTCATGTGTACAGACTTGTTCTCTACCCCACAGTATAACTTTTCCTCTAGTAACAGAGTCATCTGGTTATGCACAAGCAAATGCAGCAACTGACTCATCTTCACTCACCGGGAGAGTGGGCAGGCATCGTCCTATTCCTCCGCACCCTTGCCACCACTGCAAGACCCGCCGGGCTCTGGGCCCCCAGCCTTTCTCCATATTTGAGCTGTCTCTAGTTGGAGGTTGCCTTCTATTCTGGGTGGCCTTATATTTGGAACAATATAGCACAATCACTCAGAAAAAAATGTACTGTTTCCCAAATCTCAAAAAAGCAGATAGAACAAGAAACTTAAATGAAATGAACCACAATGTTCACAATGGCAAATCTGTAACATGCACGTTTAATGAGAGAAAAAAAATCAAAAATAGTTTGAAGTCTGGTATAGTAGTGTTAGCTGTTACTTTTTAATGATTCTGATAAAGGGAGAAGTATATGATAATGTTAAATTTCAGAGTAAATAAAACTAATTTATTTTACAGGTTTTACTTGTGAGCAATAAAGTGACGGCAAATCTTTCGAGTATGTAAATCTGTGTAACTTCAGAATTTAAGAGAAATTATTTGAAATACCAATTGAGAATTCTATGCCCTTTTATTAAGAAATATGAATAGAGCAAATATGTTCAACAGAACTCAGAAAACTAGCACTGCATGAAATAAATTTGATCAAATAAATTTGACCTCTTAGCTTATTACATACTTAGTGAGGAGTGAGCTAAGAGGTCACTGTTGCATTAAAACAATTTTTTATGTAAGAGATAGACATAATTATAAAAATATCTTATTAGCCAATTAATTATCAAACTCCTGCACTGGTCTGACTATAGAAATTAAATAACAGGGCTAGAGAGATATCACAGAGGGTAAGGTGCTTGCCTTGCATGCAGTCAACATGGATTCAATCCCTGGCACCCCCAAGCACTGCCTAGATTGATTCCTTAACACAGAGCTAGGAGTAACCTCTGAGCATTGTTGGGTGTGGCCAAAATAAAAAGAAAAGAAAAAGAAATGAGATAATAAAAATACACCCCCCAAACCCAATTTCCCTAGTATTTCAGTGTTTTTGCTTGATAAAACTATATGATTCTATTAAAATGACTGGAAGCAAAATGGACTTACTTAAACACAATTTCTTTTCTTTTTTGGGGGGGAGGGGCACACCTCGTGGTGCTCAGATGTGACTATTGGCTCTGTGCTCAGGAATTACTTCTGGTGGAGCTCGGGGACCATATGGGATGCTAGAGATTGAACTGTGGTTGGCTGCATGCAAAGCAGACACCCTACCCTATTGCTCTGGTCCCTTACACAAAACTTCTTATCCCTGCCAATTTTCACTAAGATTTTTACCTCACAATACTAGGTACTAAGAAATTTTAAAAAAATTTTAAAAATGAAAAAGGAAAATTCACCAAATAGCCTAAACACATAGTGTTAATAGTTAAGGTATTTAGGGACTGAAAATGTTCATGCAAGTTTTAAATTACTACTGATCCATTTCTAGGGAAAATGTGTTCTTTTGGAAATAGTAGAGTGTAATTTTTATTCTTCTCTAACTATTAGAGTCTGAACAATAAAGAAAATGTACCTGTTCTTGGGGGAAGTCAAAGAGAGAAGCAACGCCAGCAGTTAGCATTCACAGAACTGTTTTCTGGATCTTTGAAATCTATACCAATTACACACTAAATAATCATATATTCCACACACAGAAGACAAAAATAGGGTATATTTTCATTTATACCACTACAATTATTTCATCATAGCAACACTGCTCTCTTACTATCACTTCATGTGTCACTGTTATTTTCGTTATCAAAAGAATTATCGCCCATAATTTGTAATACGGCTAATGGTTTAAAATTCACCTCTTACCCCAATCTGCAGAGCTCTGTTTCTGTTTTTTGGATTAGATTATCTTCCTGCAAATGCCTCAGCAATTATTTTTTTCAAATTCAACAATTGGGTAAAACATACGAATCCTTGCTTTTATTCTTCGTTAATATATAGTGAGTTAAAATTCCAGTGTCTCTTTATCATAACACAATACCAAAAATCCTAACTATAAAATGTAAGATAACATATATAATAATCATAAATCTTCTGAAAGAGCTTCTTGCAGATGCTTAAAGAAACTAAAAAAGTTACTTTTGACATATAAATGTAGACTGTGGATATTATTAATCTTAAAAGAAGGCATGGATCCAACATATCAAATTTCTCTAGAAAAACAGGTTACTAATCATCTAACCATTTTAAAGGAAAAAGTAAACTTTTAGAATTAGCATTACTGACTTTTTACTCACATTAGCTACTCTTTTCCTGTTTGTTTGTTTGTTTGTTTGTTTGCTTTACGGGCCTCACCTGGTGATGTTCAGGGCTTATTCTTGGTTCTGTGTTCAGGGATCACTACTGACAGACTTGGGGAACCGTATGAGGCCCTGAGGATGTACCCAGGTCTGTCACATGCAAAACAAGCACACTACACACTGTACTATCTCCTTTTATTTTTTAAGTTCACACCAAAAATATGTGTTCTGATTGTCCAACATTTTTGACCAACTAGGCTGTAAAATATATCTGAAAGGTATTTACACACTAGAGAAAGTTTAGTTCTTTGCAACTTCTATAATGCTACTTGATAAAAGGAGCTACTTGATGAAAGGAGCTTCATAAAAGTGATAAACATTTAACTCAGTAAGTTGTTTTGGACAGCTTCAGGTTGAAATGGAAGAAACCATATTCTGACCACCAATTGGGGGAACAATTCCAAACAACTATTAAAAAAATCATATTTTATTTTCTTTTGATTTTATCTTCTACAATTTTCCAAAATTCAAAAGTTATAAACACAAAAGTCTGAATGGCCCTATAATTTCAACAAAAATTACTGTATCCCTCAACTACATTACATATCAGCATATAGAATAACCAGAAAATTATTTTAGTTATCAAGATAGTCTAAACTAAATGCTAAAAGCAAAGTACAGCATGTTATAAAGATTGTTGGAGGAAAAGTACAGGTTGCTTACTGTGTGGTACTCATTATAAAATTATGACTTCTAATGCTTTAAGCAAATATCCCAGAAAAAAGAATACCTTATCTCTGATGAGAATAAATTCATCATTATTTTTAATGCCTCATATCCATGTTACCCTTTCTTTTCATGAAAATTGAGATTTGGGACATTATTCACCATGGTCATTAAATTAATGAACTTCTTCAAAATCAAGGAATAAAATCATGCCATTCAAAAAATTTAATGAATCATTCAAACAAAAAATGTATACCTGAGCAAAATTATTATAATTAATGAACTACAGGACTTACTTTTGATTAAGTGACTTATTGGTATTTTAAAGATATACTTTATTACAATTTAATAAAATTATCTCAATTAACATTTAAGAAATTTCTATTATTTTTCCATACAAAAGTATACTGTTGTTACTGTGTTTGGCATATTAAATACACGACGGGTAGCTTGTTGGGGTCTCTCGGAGAGGGGCGGAGGAATCGAACCCGGCTCGGCTAGGCTGGTTGCATGCAAGGCAAACGCCCTACCGCTGTGCTATCGCTCAAGTATAAACTTAAAAGTCATTAACAAGAAAAACAATGTTGTTTTTACGTATTATATAAAATTCAGCTTCTTATTGATATAAAGCAAACACGTTATGTAACTTTAGCTCAGAACTTTTGTCTATTAGAAAAAGCCATTTTGAAAAGTTTGAACACTGATTAGGTAAAGCAGTTTCCTGTTAGTTAAAAATATTTAATTTTTAATTTTTTAAAATTTTTATTAGTGAATCAACGTAAGGTTACAGACTTGCAAACTTTTGTGCTTGCAAAAAAAATACTTTAATGTTTATAAGTCCTGAGGCTATGCCCAACCACCAAATTATGCATCAGAATCATCAGAACAAATACCTATTTTAGGAGGAAGCATTAGTTCACTCAGTCTTCCTACAGTTGCTTTGCTTTTTTTTTTTTTTGCTTTTTGGGTCACACCTGGCACTGCACAGGGGTTACTCCTGGCTCATGCACTCAGGAATTACTCCTGGCGATACTCGGGAGACCATATGGGATGCTGGGAATTGAACCAGGGGTAGGCTGCGTGCAAGGCAAACACCCTAGCCCTACACAAGTGCTATCGCTCCAGCCCCTAGGTGCTTTGCTTTGTCTCAAAATGATGCTTTGTTCAGTTTGATCAGTTTCATTCTTACATAGAATGCAAACAACTTTAATAGACATTCAGATTAGATTAGAAGAGTTTTCAAAAGTCCCAATGAAAAACCTTTCCTAAGGATCCTATGTGTGGATAGGATGCTAAGAGATCTTCTGTTTTGCTAGAATAAGTAATATTTATTTTATTATGTTCACAGAAAAGTGTTTTTAATTTAAAAAAGCATTTTAAATTTTAATTCCAATTATTAATTAAAAACGATGAACATTCAGTATTTATTTAAAATGCTATATTTCCCAAATTTATATATATTCATTTATTTATCCATTGAACAAAAATTTACTAAGCACTTACTAGAGGTAATTGCTCAACAATGCTTTTGCTTTTTTTGTCAACAAATCTTATGACTTGTTTGTTAATCTCTTATTTAGAGCATAAGCTTTTAGAGTAGTAGTTCTCAACACTGGGTAATTTAGCCCTTGATCAGGTATCAGGGGAGATACACTGGCAAAAATTTAGATATTTTTAGTAGTCAAAAGGGAATGGTTTCTCACAACACCCAAAAGGAGAGAGAGAACAGAGGGGAATGCCCTGCCACAGAGGCAGGGTGGGATGGGGGGATGGAGGGTGGAAGGGATACTGGGATCCGTGGTGGTGGGAAATGGGCGCCGGTGGAGGGATGGGTCTTTGATCATTGTATAATTGAAACCCAAGCACAAAAATGTGTAAGTCTGCAACTGTAACCCATGATGTCTCACTATTAAAAAAATTTTCAATAAAAAAGGGAATGGTTTCTATCAGTGATTAATGGAGAGAAACTAAGACTGCAGGTAAAAATCTGACAATGTACAGGACATGTTCCCTGCTGTCCCCATACAGGATGTCAGTTGTGCTGAAGTTGAAAAACTGATTTAGAGAAAGAACTATACTGGAAGACTGCAAGCAAAATTACTGATAGTAATTTTCAATATATTCAATAGTAGATTTTGCATATGAGCACAAGCTACCCACAAGATTTTGAGCAAG